CTACCCAGGGGGACAGCTTGAGGCTCTGTCTCAAAAAAAAAAAAAAAAAAGAAAAAAAAGAAAATGTAGCCATCATAAAGTTTGGAATTAAATTCCCCAGGCTCCTAGATTTTATACTTTTCCAAGCTAGAATTCATACAGTAGATCAGGAGTACAATTTCTACAGCCTTTACTTGACTCCATAACTTGTTCCTTTGGCTTCAGTTTTGACATTTATTATCTGCTATATGTCATCCACTCTCCTGGTACTGGAAGAGTTTTGACAGACTCTTGCTCTGTCACCCTGGCTAGAGCACAGTGGGATCATCATAGCTCACAGTGACTTTATACTCCTGGGCTCAATTGATCGTCCTGTCTCAGCCTCCTGACTAGCTGGGACTACAGGCCTGGCTAATTTTTCTATTTTTAGTAGAGACAGGGTCCCAGTCTCTCTTGCTTAAGCTGGTCTCAAACTCCTGGCATCAAGCAATCCTCTTACAGGATTACAGGCATGAGCCCTCTTGCCTGGCCTGAATAGACATTTTTAACTTTGGATTTTGCATCCTTCCTTTCCAATTCTGATATGCCACCTCCCTTACCAAATCTCAATACACTCAGAAGATGTCTACTCCACATTAATCTGATGGTTTGAAAACTTATTTTGAAAAACTTAGTCTCATGTTATGTTTGTGTGTTTTATATTTTGGCTTAAATTCACTTCCCTAGAACAATACCTAGCTTAGAGTTCTTTATCAATAACACTTCCATTATAATTGGCTTGCTGTGAGGATTTGTAATGATAAATAGGTAAAGCAATCTGTAAATGCTAGTCGGGGTACTTTCCTCTTTTTGCAAAGCCCAGTGCCAGGGCAGAGGCAGTATCAATTATTAGCTACCATCAACCGTAAAGGTTTCCTGGAGAAGGGTGTTCTAGAGAAGAGGAGGCTTTTCCCACATGACGTTTTTCTCCCTTTGTCCCTGCAGTGTATACCTACATCCAAAGTCGGTTCTACCGATCCCCGGAGGTGATCCTGGGCCACCCCTACAACATGGCCATTGACATGTGGAGCCTTGGCTGCATCATGGCGGAGTTGTACACAGGCTGCCCTCTGTTCCCAGGGGAGAATGAAGTGGAGCAGCTGGCCTGCTTCATGGAGGTGAGGGGCAGGGCTGCTAAACTAGGCCCTGTGTGTAAAACGATTTTCTTTTTCTGGTGAGTTATTACTGAAATATAACTAGTGCACACATTTTGGTAATTATCAGGAGTAAAAAGTGAAGTTTTATTGGGCATGCAGCTCTTAGAAAAATGAATAGAACTGGGTTTCCTCTTTTCCAATCAATGCCTGTACCTATAGGTGAGTATTACTTCTGGGTAGAATGCATGACCCCAGGATCAATGCTGGAAAGTAGATGTGAGTGAGCTCAAGAAGGAAGCTTGTGCTAGTGATGCCATTAATTTGTCCATTCCTTCTGAGTTCTGTCTAAGAATCAAACAGTGATCTGTAATCAAAAATTATTTTTCTCAGTCTATCAGCTGACAGCCTGGTTATAATGTTGAAAATTAAGAATCGGAAATTATCTGACTTAAAAAAAAAGGCATTATTCTGTCGTTAGTCATTTACTGTCTTAAGTTTCTGGGAAGACTATCTCATAACAAGGCTTTACCAAGATGCATTGTATGATTATTAATTATAATATATCATCCCTTCACTTAAGGAAATGTTATCATGGAGGTAAATTAGATAAAACAGAGGAAAATAAGCATAAAGGTTGGAAATTTCACATTTTAGGATTCTCCCAGTGAAAAAAGATCTATGTGTGTATATGTGTATGCCAAATTTTTATTTTCCAGATTGTCTCAAAGTTACAGGTAGTGAGACAGACATTCCTTTGGGCATTACTAAATATAGATAATTTCATTTTATAACTGAGACTGACAATTAGATATGAAAACAATTTAGGTAAAAATAGCCATAAATAGTATCTATGGTGGAATGAACATTGTCCTGGGAGTCAGCAGACCTGAGGTCCAGCCCTGGCTCTACCTTTTTGGCAAGTCATTTCGCTGCTCTTGACTATAAATGAGGGGATCGGAGTAAATGGCTTCTGGGGTTGACGATGACTTTATGAAGCATCCCTGAACCTGACACTGCTCCCAGTATTAAGGAGAATGGGTCTAGGGCAGCATTTCCTACCTCCCCCAGAGCTGACTCAGCTTCCTCTTGACTTCAGTGTCAATGAGGCTGAGGAGCAGGAAGGTGGGGTCATGTGTGGACACTGGCTGTGAGCTTGGCAGCAGGGGTGAATGACTCAGGCTGTTATTTCTGACTCTCTGTGCACCGCTGTACATTTCAGTGGGGGAAGAGGAAAAGTACGTGCCATGTTGTTCTTTTCAAGAAGGTATTTTTGTCTTACAATGTCTGATTCTATCAGATGATTTTCACCTCTTTTCCTCTCCTCCCTTCCTGATACTCCATGCTGGAGTATGTCATTCCTTAGTTGGAGCTGAAGGCTTAGCAAGCAGTTCATGTGCTCTGACAATGATGTTTGGCTGCTCAATCCAGGGAGACCCACTGCTGGTCGGTGCCGATGCCTGTTTGGAATAATATGGCAACTCCTGGATTAGGAGTTGAAAGACCCTGGCTCTCAGTCTGCTCTGCCACTAACTTGATATTATCACTTAATATCCCTGGGGCTTTATCTGTAGAGGCAAAGTGTGACCAAAGTCCCCTCTAGTTCTAACAGTCTTTGAATCTGTGACTCCACAAAGAGTGAACCAAGTAAACTATACTTATTGAAGGTCCTGGGCCTGCCACCAGCCGACTTCATCCAGACGGCCTCCAGAAGACAGACATTCTTTGGTAAGTCCTTGGGTCAAACTCTCTTTTCCTTATTGTGTCCAATGACAGTCCAGTCCAGTCCAGTCCTCCCCCAGTCACAGGCCTTGAAGTCACCTCCCGTACCCTAACCTGCATTTAGTGGTTTCCCCCTACCCCATATCAAAGGGCAAGCTGTGATTAGAAGCTTCTTTCAGAAAACTAAAAAGATAATGAGAAGTTGAACCAGGTAGCATGATGGAGATGGGGTGGGGGAGTCAACCTGGGAATGGGGCCTTGCAGTGAAAACATACAGGAGGGATAGAATGACCAGGTTTCTGTTTAGAGGAAGATCTATCAGCAAATGCTGAAACCTCAAAAGATGATGACTATACACTTTCCCAGGAGTTCTCACCTCCCCAGGCACCTTGCCCTCTCATGCTGCATACTTCGTGCAGGGAAGTCATGCTGTACACACTATACAATGTGCAGGGTTCACCCATGGTGGGGGGGGGGACTAAAATGTAGTATATTTCTGTACCATTTGGTAAAAAGCCACAGCCCTGAGCCCTGCTACAGCTGCAGGCACCTAGCCCTCTCCCAGGACTCCGTGGATTCCCCCATGATCCCCAAAACTAGAAGCTGAAGGCCTAGCAAGCAGAGGTGCTCCATGACAACACTTTGGGATATGAGTGTCATCCATTCTGATTAGTTGGTCCTGTGCCATTTATCCAGCGGTAACACTTTTTAAATATCACCTTGTAATGATGGCCGGAGCTTTGAAGACCACTGTGCCTCTGAGCAGGGAAGTGTCCTGTTTGCCTTAGAACCTTTGAACAGTGGCCACATGTTAACATTTTTTCCACCAGAGTGGTGTGATGGTGGGCTGACACCCCAGTTCAACTGACACATGAGCAATGGAACTGGTCTTTGGACACCCAAGTATAATTTTCACACCTACCACTTATAAATCAGTCTTTTGGATTTTAAAGGTTTATCCAGAAGAAAAGTGAGGATACTGGTCTTCCCTTGTGCTAGACAAAGGCTTTGTGAGAAGAGTCTCATCTTGAGCCTCTAACAGTGAACTCAGGAGACAGCATCTAGGCAGGGACTAGAAGGAGGAGAATACAGAGCATCTTGGCAGGAAGATTCCCAAACGCATATACTTGTCCACGTCATGGAATATCTGATTTCTGCCATCAGCCCTGGGCTTTAGGATGGTGATGGGTTTTGGTAGTGACACTCACATGTCTTCACTTGCTGTGAAAAAGGGACTTTGCTGTGTTCAGTGTTTTTTAAGATTTATTCAATTATAAGAGTCATTTGGCAGGAAAGTGAATTCCCATGATTCTCTTCTATAACCTATGCTATAGTAGGTTTGAGGTGGGACCCAGGATTCTATGTTTTTAATAACAGCTCCTGGTGAGCGTTACAGCAGGATAACAGTGTTCCCTGCTGAGTTTGGGAAACACTATATTCAGTTCTTGACTCTCCTTTTCCCAGGTTTGGGCTGACAACAGCAACTCAACCCCCTCCCCAGCCACTCCTACTTAATTAGCATAAAATGGTGGTGAGATACTTAGGTGGTCCAGGCTGCAAGAAGTAAAGGGAGGAGAGAATGATTAGATCCTGGGGAGGCCGAGAGGGGTGAGAAAAACTTGTATAAGAAAAATAATTATGTAGTGATGACTTTAGGAGCTATGTTACTTATAAGACCATGAGTTGATTCTTCTTATGTCATTTGTAAAAAGAGCACTGTTGGATAAAGTAAGAGTGCTAGGGTCATGCTCCAAAAGGAAATGGAGATTTGTATGAGTTCAGAGGACCTATAAAACACCCTACCTCTGACTCATTTTTATTAATATGAATACAGAGATACTCATGTGTGTACATACACACATACACATTCAAGGATGTCTGTCTTCCAGGATTCAGTAAGAGTAGATGTTCTTTTGGAGGCCCTGAGAATTACATTGGTTACAAAAGTAATTGCTGGAGTCCATTATGCACCTTCTAGAATGTTCATTATGTGAACTCTGCTGAGTTTTTGTGAGAATTCAGTTTAATGTGTAAATTGTCTGTGAGCATATGAGGTCTTGTAATTAAGTTTGAAACTCATCTTAGTAAGAGTACTACCTACCTCATAGCTAAGTATCACTATGGTCACCTTTGAAGTACTACCCTTGCAATTCTGTGCACTGATGCCAGGGCCTAGTCCACCCTTCAAAGAATTTTTTCTAGGATGAGTTTGTGAACTTAATTGTCACACCCTCATACCATGGCAGCTTTAATGGCCATTCCAGAAAAAGAGTTCCAAATTTGCATTGAAGGAGGGGCTAGGGGCTGGTGTCAGTGAATAACTTCCCCAGAGGAGTACTTTGAAGGTGACTGTACTGATATTCAGCAATGAGATATGTAGCAATTGTCTAGAAAGAGTCCACGAACTGAATTGTCCGACCTTTTGTATACACATGCACCTATTTATGTGCAGACTTACAAAGTGTGAGCACAAGTGGACAGCTCTTGTGAACGTGCACACCAGAATCTGGGTGTGCACAGGGGTGATCTCACCTTCAAAGCATTGCATAAATCACCCTTGGGAAACCTTTGGAGCTGTCTTCAGGGCTTCTTTGCAGGGATGACAAATCATACCTTTGATGAGGGATTTAATCAGCAGAAATAGCTGAATAAAAGCTATTCCAAGGTATGTCTTAAGCAACCAGCTAAGGTTTGAACTTTTCAGTTATGGACAAAATTTTGATGCAACTCTACAGAAGTAATAAGGGTACTTTGCCTGCATGGTCTATAAAGCATTCTCCTAAAATGGCTTTGTTGTTCTATCCCATGAATATCTCAAATTACAACTTTATTTGGGCTAGTGGGGAAGGAGCAAGGGCCTGGATAATCCAAGAATAGAAGATATCCTTTTTGTTCTGAGCTGAGTGTTCTTGTCACTTCAGATTTATTTTATTATTACCATTATTATTTTACCTTCATAAATGGTAAACCGTTCGAACTATTTGGTTTGGGGAGGAGGTGGTGGAAAGGGGATCCAGAACGTACTGGATAGTAGGGAAAAAATGTTTTTTAAGTTAATTGTACTCATTGAATAATCTCATTTGGTTGTCTCAGCCTGAGACTGTGTGTTTGTGGTGTGAGGGTGGTGGGAAGGGGCTGGTGTATAAGGCAGCAGAAGGGCTGCCAAGACCACTCCAAGAAGCAGCATAGTTGAGTGAACAGCTGTGATGTGACCAATAAGTATTAACACCCGGAACTAAATACAGAATGTTGTATCTCTAAAGATTCCAAAGGTTTTCCTAAAAATATAACCAACAACAGGGGGAAAAAAAGATACCCGGATTCCAAGGATCTCACGATGGTGCTGAAAACCTATGATACCAGCTTCCTGGACTTTGTTAGAAAGTGTTTGATGTGAGTTTGTTGGGGTATCTTTGCCTCTGGGTTTCCTCTTTAAATACTATATTTTCACACATTTACTGCTGAAAATCTAAGGCTGGAAGATAGTTATAAAGATAACAATGATAAATGCTGATGATAAAGCTTGAAAGTCTACAAATTGCTTTCACATGGATTGTCTCCCTCAATAGACACCTGCTCTGAGGTTGTCAGAGCAGATGATTCGCTCCCTTTTGCAGAGATGGAGGCTGGAGCTCCAAGGGATTGAATGGCCTGCCCGCCATTACATGGTCGGTGGGCAGAGTCTGGCCTCAGACTATGTGGCAGTGAGATTGTAGAGAAGTCCTAAATGTCTCCTGCTTCCATGAACTAAAGCCAACTTCTTCAGAGTGTCTGTTTTAATGATTTGCATACATATGAAGGGTAAATTGGTTTTAGGTTCTTTCACCAACCCCCCAGGATTTAATCCCCAAATCCTCTTGTATTAGGGAGTTATGGTAAGGGTGAGCTATAAACCACTTATTATATACAAATTTTTACAATCTTTATGCATAGTTTGAGTCTTAGAAATTAGGTCTGTACTGAAATATTAGTTAAAAAAAAACCAAAAACCAGTGTGGTGCCCAGTTTAAAAGGGTGTTATTTTTTTGTTTTTGTTTCTGAGATGGAGTATCATTTTGTCACCCTCAGTAGAGTGCTATGACATCACAGCTCACAGCAACCTCAAACTCTTGGGCTCAAGTCATCCTCTTGCCTCAGCCTTCCATGTAGCTGGGACTACAGATGGCCAGCACAAAGCCTAGCTATTTTTTGAGATGGGGTTCTCACTGTTACTTAGACTGATCTCAAACTCCCTGAGCTCAGGCAATCCACCCACCTCAGCCTCCCACAGTGCTGGAATTACATGAGCCACCTCGCCTGGCCAGTTGAGAAGGTGTTAAGAAAATGATAGGACAAGTGCAGGGGCCCACGCCTGTAATCCTAGTACTTTAGAAGCCTCAAAAAAAAAAAAAAAATCCCAAAAAGAAAAATGATAGCTATTGTTACTATTTTTACAACTTTTAAAGAGATTTTCCACTGAGTGGCAAGTAGCTTAGCTGCATTCTAGTTGGCAAGTCGTTGTTTTTCTTGGGGCCTCAAGTGTCCTTGTCTAGAAAATGGGATATTTCTATATAAAGGGTGGGGCTCATGCTGTTTACTCATCTGAATAATGGAGATAGAGAACAATTCCCAACCCCACTCTAACCTCTTGCTGGGGCTATAGAATGAATGTCCTTAAAGAATGACAGAAACTGGCCCCTGAAATGGAGGTGCATTATCTAGAAACCCCAACCATCTAGAACACAGCTCAGCACCAGGGAAGACAGTATTTTCTTCTTTAATGTAAAGGACTAATTGTTCATAACTTGCAAGAGGCAAGTTAACAGCTGACGGGGACTGGTACCTTCCCCATTGGTACCTTCCCCATTGGTACCTTCCCCATAAAGTTTTGAGCCACACTCAATAGTTGTAAATCCCTGTGTCTGAGCTTCATAGGAGCTAGACTTTTTTATGACCTTGATGAATCTAGAATGTTAATGTCATCTCCCTGCAGTTAGAAACTATTCTAAGTGTGATGGACATCAATTAGATGACAGCTGAAACTTCCTGTCTTGGAAGGTGGCCAGATGGTGAAAACCAAATTTTGTGATTGACAGTCAGTAGTGATATACCTATTTTCAGACTATGACATACAAGGAAGACTAGTTATTTTATTTTGGATGAATGCTAATGAGTAGTATTAGGACCTGGGTAAAAGTTATTGGGAGGCAAACCAATTTTGGCTCAATAAAAATGAAGAACTTTTAAAGAATTGGGAGTTTTTCAAAATTGAAATCAGTGCTTCTGTGAGGTAGTGCCTTGTCACCAAAATTACTCAAGAACAGCAGGGTGATTCCATGCTGGAAGTTCTGTCCAATCTGGTGTCTTCTCTTACATACAAGAAGTTTTCCTGGACTATTTCCAAGTTCCCTTATAAATCTCAATATTCTAAAATTCTATAATTTTCTTTGCAATAAATTTGAAGGCTCTAATTCTATAGTTTGAAAATTGAGATTAAGCATCTCTTTGTTTTTAACCTTCTTAACTAAATCCTAAATCCCATTGTTCAATATTTTTGTAACATTTCTAAAAGGGAATTTCTAGGGATTCTAGAAGACTAGGATTCTAATAGTTTCCCAGTTTATTATACACATTTTGTGCAAAGATTATTTCCAATTGTTGTTTCCCTAAATTAGATGTCATAATCTCTATTCTATGATGTTATCTTTGAGACATAACGTAGCTTAAATAAAGTATCTTTGTTGGGTTTTTATAGTGGCTTATATTTAGAAAGGAAGTAAAACAGTAACAGGTGCTGGGCTTTCTTGATGTGCAGATGGGAACCTTCTCTTCGAATGACCCCTGACCAGGCCCTCAAGCATGCTTGGATTCACGAGCCACGGAACCTTAAACCACAACTCAGGACCAAGACTGCAAGAAAGAATACCTTATGTTTCCCCTCTGAGCCAAGGAAGGACAAGTTTCGAGGGTATCATCACTCGGGCAAAAAAGGTACAACCCCTCAAATAGCCAATTTTATTCCATTTTATTTTATTTTATTTTTTTGGCTGGAGGCTGGGTTTGAACCCACCACCTCTGGTATATGGGGCCAGTGCCCTACCCCTTAGAGCCACAGGCACTGCCCAGCCAATCGTATTCTGACAGTCCATTTCTGAACCAGGAATTTCTGAACCAGGCATTTCTGAAGGATTGGCCTGACAATTTGACTTCGACCTTGGATGATTCTCCTGGCTACATCCCTGTCAGCCTGCCATTTCTTGCCTTTGGTATTTTCCTCCTTCAAAAACTTGGCTTTAGCTGAGCTCTTCTTTGTTGACCCTTATCATTAAGATTTTCCATTTTCTCCTACATTTAAATCCCTTTCTCCTTCTCTTTTTCTTTCATGGGGTCCATCCCTATTATGTCCTATAATTGCCTCTTGAATTTTTATCAATGACAGATTATGGCAGCATGCATTTGGGGGGAACCATGGTCACTGGAGTAGGTTAGCTGCAATTAAATTCTGGCTCTATCCCTTAACAGATGTTGGGCTCTTGGGAAATTTACCCAACCTGTCTGTATCTCGGTTTCTCTACCTATGAGACTAATATCTATTCTCCAGGATTGTAGAAAGGTCCAAATGAATTAGTAAGTGTATAGTGCTTAGGATAATGCCTGGCTCATAGAAGTGTGCTTTACAAATGAACTGGTTTTGTTTCATTACAGCTGTGATTTCTCCAAAGTGATTTATAACTTATAAAGGACGGTCGAATATAATTCACATTTGAATGCTTATTCCTTCTGTCTTCTCTCTCCTTCGGCAGATGAGACCACCAAAGAGACTGCAGACAAAATAAAAGATGGCACCACTAAGCATGTCCCGAATTCAGGTGACCAGCAGGGCTCTGCCCACCACACGGCTGACGTTGTCCAGCTGCCTCTTCTAACAGAAGCTCCCAAGAAGCCAGAGGCAGTTGTGCCAGCGGTGTCCATGACCTCCACAGAACAAAGCAAAAACTCCTCCCCCAAGAACACAAACATTTTTCCACCAATTGTATGACCTTTGATGAGGGTGTGTCCTATTCCTTTCCACCAGTGATTTGTATTAGAGACAGCACTTATATTGTACAATACTTCAGATTGTTGTTTTTTAATACATAAAAGTTTGTTTAAAAAAAACCCCCAAAATTCTATTCACATGTCCAGTTGGCACAATTCTCCTCATGAGTGATGCAGGAGACATCATTCCACTTAAACTCACTCTTTTGTGTTTATGTATGGTGGGGAGGAAGGTTTAGATTCTCAATGTTACAGTATCACTCATGGAACTCTAAATAAAAGTAAAAATCTTTTCTTCTTGCCTATGACTGTCAATCTGTGTCAATCAGGATTCCTATTTGAAAATGGTAGAAAGAGTCCAAACTGGTTTAAACAGCAATACGTGTAGGCGGCCCAGCTGGCTCAGTTGGTAGAGCCTGAGACTCTTAAACAACAAAACATAGAGTGGGTTGTAGAACTGGAGAATCAGAAAAGATAGATGAGGTTTCGGGCACAATAGGATCTGAGAATTTAAGGTCACAGGGCTCAGATTCTCTCTTACCTATTAAATATTAGCCCTGTTTTTGTCTGTGGTTCCCCTCATTCTGATGACAAGCTCTGCGCAAGTTAAGATGGCCAGCATCCAGTCAAAAGATGAAGTATTTCTTGCTGTCAGGATGGTCTCAGAAATGATTATATTTGAGCTAATGACTGTGTCTGAGAGACTGGGCTCCTCTGATTGGCCAGCCTGGGCAACAAACCCACACTGTGATGGTGGGGAGAGCACTGTGACTGCTGCCTTCCAGACTGGAGCAGGGTGTGGAGAGTTCCCCAAAGGAAGGGAAATTGGGTAAATAGGCAGGATATGTTCACTCATATGCCACACCCCAAATCTAAGTATGTCCTCTTATTTATTTCCCTTTCTAGTCCTTATCTAGATAAATACATGACTTTCCCCCCTTTCCTTACTGTTTGTAGTTCATTGAGGGTACAAAGAATTAGGTTAGGGCAGCGCCTGTGGTGCAAAGGGGTAGGGCACCAGCCCCATGTGCCGGAGGTGGCGGGTTCAACCCCGGCCTTGGCCAAAAAAACTGCAAAAAAATTAGGTTACACAGATTGCATTTGTTAGGTACAGTCTCCTTCATAACTTCTATATGGTTGTAATCAAAGGGCAGATAGAATTTTACATAAAACTAAGGATCATAACATAAAGTAGAAAAATACTTGGCCTCATAGTTTTCATTTTAATTGCGGCCTAGTATTTCATAAAGGGAGATACTAGGTAATTGAAGCTGCAGATTTGGATGAGATCACCCCCGGAAGATGATACCAAGTGAGAATAGCAGAGGATCCAGGGATAGTCCTGGGAAAGATAAATATAGGAGGAGTTAAGAGAGTTGAGTCCATCCTCAGGAGACCTAGAGAAACAGGAAGAAAATTAGAAGCCAAAGGAGGAGAAAGTTTCTGAAAGGAAAAAAGGGTCGAGGATATAAAATTCCACAAAGGTCACCATGAGAACAGAAAATATGTCTTAAGTGGGGTGATAAGGACATTAAGGCAAAACAATGTCATAAGAGGTACGGTAAGTTGTCCCAGGATCTATAGCCAGAAAGCCACAGAAAGGGCAACAGAACTCAGGTCTTGGGAACTGTTTTGACATGATCTTCAACCATGGATGAGGTTGGAGGCTCACAGTTGCTCTGCGGCTCCATAGAGACAGGACAGGAAGCAAGTCCTCAGAATCATTCATTAGAAATTATGTTTTAATTTTCATGGTTATAAAGGCTGAGATGAATTTTTTATAAACTGAGGCTTACTTTAAGGAAACGATTTAAGGGAGGGAGCTACAAATAGTGGTCCAGAGACGGGATACACAGGGCACAGGCTCAGTGCTTCTGCCGTCCATCTGATCATTTTTTTTTACTTCTGGGATTTCTTTACCTCACTGTTCCATTGGATTCCAAGGAAACCAAACACCTGGAGACCTTTAATTGTAATTCTTTTATTTTATGTCCTTGCTCGCATAGACAGGAAAATTTGCAAAATCCAGTGACTAGCATAGATGACATGTCTTTGATGTGAGTGGTATGAAGATAATGTTAGGGGGAGCTGTGGAAGTGAGAAAGAAGGGAGGGGGTAAGGGCTGGGCCCACTGCTGGAAGAGGGGAATGCAGTTGGCGGGTGCCGATCACAGGTTCACCATCAGCCAGTCCAGCAGCTGCAGTCGTGTGACGTTTCCCACCGCCTCGTCTAGCTGCCGCTCCTTCTCGTAGCGCAGCACGGATTGCAGAACCTCACCCACGCTGCGTCCTTTGTCCACAGCAGCAGCTGAGAGCTGAAGTAGCTGTGGAAAGGAAAGAGAACAGTAGTGGAAAGGCAGAGCATCTCGTGGTGGCCAAGGCTAGGACAGGACAAAGAGGCCAGGCAGACTTTGAGGGGAAGGGAACAAATACATGTTGAGAAGACTTGAAAGTCTGCTGGCCTGTTTAACAGAAGAAAGTTGGTGGTATCGCCCTTAATTTAAAGCAGAGATGTTAACATCCACCTGCCTATGATCTCACTCTCTAAGACTTCTAAGGTTCTAAGCTCACCCCAATATCATAAAACAGTCTCCATCATTGTCCTAAGGCCAAAAAGGGCAAGAAAGAAAATGTCCAGTGGACAAATGTGGGTGCTTCCCTTCCATGCCCCATAAACCAGGAAACTCTAGAATTAAGTTAGAGCAGGAGGGCACTTTGGCAACCGATATAACCCTCAGGGAAATACTGCTCAGAGAGGCGAACGGACTCCTCAGAATCAAACTAGTAATTAGCACAGCTGGAATTTACTCTGGGTATCTCAACTCTATGTTTAGTTTTCTTTCCAAGTGTAAAATGAGAAAAATTATTCAAGAATCCATTCTAGTATGAACACAGTCCATTGTCATCCATCTGGGATCCTCAACAAACTATCTCAGGTAACCAGATTTTTATTTTGTGCATTCTGCTCTTGACTTTTTATAAGAGTAAAAGAGCAAATGAACAGACCAAATAGCAGCAGGAGCTTTTTCAGAAGGAGAAATGACCATTTCAGAAAACTGAAGTACAGTTGGATACTGTTGAGATACAAGGAAAGACAGAAAGTCTCAGCAAAGAAACAGAACATATAAAGAACCAAATGGAGATTTTAGAACTAAAAATCACACACAAAAAAATCTAAAATAAAAATGTTTGGATGGGCTAAACAGTAGAATGGAGACAGAGAGGAAAGGCAGTAAACTTGAATAATGATCAATTACCTGGGCTGAACAACATAAGAGATTGATTAAACCTTTTAAGAAAAAGATTTAAAAAATAAACAGTGCTCAGGGACCTTTGGGAAATACCAAAAGGCTTACCGTTTACATCATTAGAATCCTAAAGGAAAAGAGAAAAAGGGTTAGGTAGAAAACAAAATTTGGTGCTTGCTGCAGCAGCACATCCACTAAAGTTGGAACAATACAGAAAAGGTTACTGTGGCCCCTTGCAAGGATAACATGAAAATTGGTGAAGCAGTCCATAAAATAAAAAAGTTGAAGGAATAATGGATAAAATCTTCTCTTATTTGTTGAAAGATGTCAACCTATAGATCCAAGGAGCTCACCAAGTTGACTGCAGAGGAGCTATAAGAAAAGAAACTCAGTGTACCTAAAAGAAAACAAACCCGAAGAAATCACTTCAAGAGCTATCCTAAACAAATTTCTAAAAAACTAAAGAATGTGAAAAAAATCTTGAAAGTGGCCAGAGAAAACAGGACATTTATAGGGGAACTGCAATTCAAGTGACAGCGGACGTCTCATCAGAAACCACAGAGGCCAGGAAGCAGCAGCACATTTTAAAAATGCTAATAAGTGGGTGGCGCCTGTGGCTCAAGGAGTAGGGCGCCAGCCCCATATGCTGCAGGTGGCGGGTTCAAACCCAGCCCTGGCCAAAAACTGCCAAAAAAAAAAAAACGCTAACAGAAGAAAACCTGCCAAATCAGAATTCCATCCCCATTCGAGATAAAACTAAGGAATGAGAGTCAAATAAAGACATTCTCAGACTAAAGACAACTAAGAGAATTAATTGCCAGAAAACATATTCTAGAAGAATTGATAAGTGAATTTCTTCAGGGAAAAGGACAATGATATCAGAAGGAAACTGGGAATACCAGGGATGAAAAAAGAGCAACAGAAACAGTAAAACTTTCAGTATAAACACTAGACTATCCTCTTCCATTCTTTAAAATATGTTTTATGGTTGAAAACACACAAAGTAACATTGTTTGAAGGTTTTTTCAACATATGTATATTACATACATAAGACAACTAGAATATAAAGGGGGAATGACAGAGGAATCTATTATGGAAATAATATTTTCATATTCCAGTTTAAATGGTAAGCTTTTGCTTCTACACAGACTCTGAAAAGTTAAATATGCATATTGTAATCCCCAAATAAACCACCAAAAAGAAGATACAAAGAGATATAGTCAAAAATACAATAAATTAAAATGGAATACTAAACAAATTTAAACAATACAAAAGAAAAGAGTAAAGAGAGAACAAGAAGAAAAAAAAACAGAAGAAATAGAAACAAAATAGTAGACTTAATCCAAACATATCAATAAATTAGGCTCAGTGTAAATAGTTTAAACACACCAATTGTAAGGGACAAAAAATATGATCCAACTGTCTGCCGCCTATATAAAAATTCATTTCAGGTACAGTAATATATGTAAGTTAAAAGTAAAATTAAAGTAAAAAAATGTATCATGAAAATACCAATCAACATAAAAGACATGAAGCTAACATTTACAGTCAATTGATTTTTTTATAAGGGGATGCAGGGGCATCCAGCCACAGCCTGTGGCTGGCTTTGGATGTTTATCTAAGAGTTGTTTCGGGCCACATATGAAATACACAAACACTAACAGAAACTGATGAGTC